CTCATACCAGAAAAACGGTCATTCACGTCGCGCTGACTTTCAACTCAAATTGTATTTCCGTCTTCTTTCGTTTTTCTTTTACCCGTGTTAAATTTGTCACCTCACTTCTTTCTCTTCTGTACAAAACCATTAGCAATGTCTATCGCACATTACCTTCCAGATTCTAGATATAACAATTCTTTTTCCGTAAGCGTTATGGATGGACTACTAACACAGGTGTCACTCCTTTTTATGATGTTAGCTGCCTCTATTATCTCACGTGTTAACTGATGATGGTTCTTTCCGATTATGGTGCTATTTTTGAAGTCCGCGGCGCACCCACCGTCACGGCAGTGAATGCCCAAGAGTCCTGAGTTTGCTAATCGGGAGTTGTTGTTGTGTTCCCTTAATCTGACATTAATATATCTTCCAGTTTGTCCTATGTACTGTTTGCCGCATGATAGGGGAAAGGAATAAATCACTCCTTCTGTGCAAGGTATGTATGGGGTTCTGTGCTTTTTAGTGCAGACGGTATTAGTTTTTGGTGTGGCGTTAACTTTTTTACATAGGCCTGATAGTTTGATGGGGGCGGAAAAGACTACATCGATATTTACGCGATTCCCAATCTTCTTCAGGTTATGCGAAATGTTATGAATGTAGGGGATGACGTCTCTGGTTACTAAATCTTTCGCGTGGCTTGCGGGATGTGATTTGACCTTTTTTAATCTGTTTAAGGAGACTTTCGGCGACTGAAGTTAATATATGTGTAGGATATCCCGCACTTAGTAACCTAGATACTTGTCCTGTGAAGCTTGTTAGGCCTGAATGCGGGTAGGACTTGAAAATGGAGTTTTTGAAGCACTGATTAACTATGCCTCTCTTTACCAATTTGGAATGCGCTGGTTTTGCGGCCGAAACGCCCAAGAGCGAGTGCCATCAGCTTTTTGTACATGTAGGGGGGGGGGGGGGGGGGGGGGGGAGCGCCCTCAGCGTTTCTTTTTTTTTTTTTTTATCCTTTCGAGATATGAGTCCTGCATGGCCTGGCGACCCTTTCGGTGCCCCCCTATGAATGGCGCCCTGTGCGGCTGCACAGGTCGCCCACCCCAAAGGCCGGCCCTGCCGCATGTCGAATAGAAATCGATGAGGTCGTACCCAATCAATTTGTCGCTCAAAGTCACGACTCTGGATCACTGCCCGACCGTTTGCTTGGGAGAGCGGTTCTTTTACTTTTTATTCTTTCACCACCAAAGGAAAAACAACGGAATCGCCGTGCACGCGCTGCTCCGCAGCAGCAAGCACGGCACAAGGAGCGTGAGAGCGCGAACAGAGCGCTTCTGAAGCGCTAACAGAGCGCTGCTGAAGCGCTAACCGAGCGCTACGTCCCGCGCTAGGAAGCGCCACATGAGCGCTCCTTCGTGCGCTCACGTGGCGCTAACTTAGCGCTCCTCTGTATGTGTGAACCGGCCTTTATAGCCGGTTCACCTAACAGTCCATCGCACGCCTCACAGTCCATCGCACGAAGTACACAACGAGCACATGATGAAGTCCGAAGCACACCTTGAGCGCACGGCGCTCAGGCGGTGACACCACGCTCCCCCAGTGACATCATACTCCCCCATTGAGCAGGCGACGCGACCCCACCGGCTTCACGGCTTCCGCAATGAAGCATCTGCGTTGCTGTCCTTTTCCTCGTGTTTTATTTCTGAGGCGCGTCCGCTTTGACCTTGAGCGCACCCGCCGGCTCCTGTGACCAGGCATCTGCGTTGCTGTGCTTTTCTTTGCGTTTTTTTCTGAAGCGCGTCGGTCATTACCTTGAGCGGCGCGTGCTTGATGACGTATTTTTATGGCCATCTTTCGGGCACAACGCCGACGTTTTTTTTTTCGCGTAAAGGGACCTATAAAGCTTTCCCCAACAAGTCTGGCTGCCTGATCAACTTCTAGTTTGGCTGTTATGGATATGCAATGCCAGGCTATATGTCAAGTCCCCCGAACCGCGGCGGGGCATATTACGAACTTATTGCGAAAAGCGTCATGAGCCGAGCCTGCCGTCAAATTAAAGCACGGCAGGTGCCATGTCTACAATACATAAGTCCCGTTTGTTTCTAAACTATTTCGACACGCATTATGTTGCATATCCCGAATTATTTCGGAGTAAACTTCAATTGCAGCAGCCATTGTGCTCCTTGAACTGCACAGATATCACTGCAAAATGTGATTTTAGAGCCACCGGCGTAACCGTAAGGTCACGTGACTTCGGTCACGTCACGTGGCCCCCGGTGACGTCACGTGAGGTCACGAGGGTCACGCGACGTCACGAGGGTCATGTGATTTCACGGTTACGCCGACACCGCTCGGAAGGAGGAATCGCAGGCAGGATGAGGGGGTGAGGAGGAGGGAGGAGGGGTATACCCTCTCCTCAGTACCCTTCCCTCCTCCTCCTCAAGAGCTGCGCTCTAATTCGGCGTTACAGGGAGTTGTAAACGGCTTTCAGTTTTTTTTTTCTAAAAAGGTAATCACAAATAGAGCACCTTTCTTGCTTATTAGCTTGAAAAACGTGCCAAGTATCTTTAAACGTAATTCAATCACTTTTTCGAAGTACTTATACTCTACTCAAGATAGATTGTACTAAAAGCAACTTGACTACTCCTCTAAACAAATTTTCAAATGGTTATTTAGTACCTTATCTTAAATACTTTTGTTGTGTATTTGGCACAACACTGGATAATAGGTAATTGAATGAGATAAGACGTTTCCTTAAATTTAAGTACCTATAGCTTCAAAATAATTTTGTTACAACTAAAAATCATCTTTTTCAGCTCCAGGAAGTATTCACAAAAAGACAGTGCAAAATACCACCCAAGAAATTTTATTAGATACATCTCTGTTTAAAACAAACAATGCAATGCGTTTGTACAATGAAGGCTTTTGCAGTTTCAGTCTCGCGATTGTGGCACTATGTTGATGTGGAATGCAGTGTCGTCGTCTCCTATGTCCATTGCTGACGATGTTCAATAAATATTTTGGCCTTAACTAAAACAAAAAGTCTAATGCTGTCATTTTATATGCGTAATGGTTCATTTAGTTAGACGCACATGTTGCACATACGGGTAGAAACGGAGGGAGAGGAGGATATTTTAGAGCACTTCAGAACACCGAGCGCTGGTTGAAATGATTAGTGAATAGGCCCAAAAGGCCTTTATCTCTACTACTTTTTCGAACGCGTTCGAACGACGAATGCCGGCGTCCGGCACTCGATTTCGAAAAGGGAGTAGAGGCAAAAGAAGCTAGCGATTCGCGTCTACCTATTAATCATTCCAACCAAAACTCGGTGTTCTAATGCCCCTGCGTGACCTGATCTGTTCCTCTCCCTAGGTTCTCACCCATATTGTGTCAAATCGAACCAATGTAATTTTTGCTTAATTCAAATATCTAGTTTTCATACCGGATGAAACACATTTTACACATGTTGTTTACGCATATCTTGAAAGTTTTATATTTCCTTTTTTTTTTGGAGGAAACTGTTTCATTTTGAGTTAGTCAGCCTTTGATGCACATGGGACGATAGAACATTTCTATTTATATGTACGTTCGCTGCCAGATGACAATTTTATAAGCTCTAGCACAATTTAAAAAAAAAATCAGTGGCTTGCAGCTAATTGCGAGCGATGTCTGTGCTGTTTTGTTGTAATGTTATATAGTCTACTGTTGTCACTGAATGTACTGCAAGCGATGTCATATACTGCTAAGGCAAATATTCACTGTATTTTCAGTTATTCGAGCTATTCATTTTGTTGTGAACCGCACAGAACCGGCGTTTATTTATTGTCCCCCTAGATCTAATCTCTCTTGCTTATCTAAACAATTTTATACGAATCTAGGAATGACACCAAATGTCGAGTGCTTTTTCCAGTCCCTGGGGTTAACAAAACTGTCTCATTTAGGTTTACATTCAGAGTAGGGTGTCAAACTTTGACTTTTTCAATTCTCCAAGAAAAGTGACAGCTAGTTGGCCATATAAGTCGCGTGTGATGCAAATTTGAAGATGTAGTATTGTACATAATGGTCAACAAAGTAATCATTAAGAGGTTAGTAAATATCAAACCTACATAACATGAACAACACAATGACTTAGATTGCAAAACTGTGCTCCTCTGGAAAACCTTTTAAACAACATCATAAAGCTTCATATATCATTCGAGGTGCTTTTTCCTGGTTTTTGCAATCTTAATAAATCCTTTCACAGTGTAACCTTTTCCAGCAAAAGGGGGTATCATTTTTACTCGTGCCAGTCTTAAATATGTCATTAGGCCACAAAAAGTGCAACGTGATTTTCCATCTATAGCGATTTCATGGCACCCAAAAATACATCGCTTAAGAAAACTTAACTTATGTTGGCAGGCAAGTTGTGGATCTACATGAATAAAACGATAAAAGAGCATGCCGGTCAATTCATTGCTGCATACCCTATAAATATTCTGCACTTGGCTAAGTTTTGCAATAGAGTTTTGATTTTGGAAAAAGGAGGTTCCTTACAATGCTTAGTGTATTATAGAACAAACAACAGTTTCATGCAACCAGAAACAGGTTCAAACACCAAAACATTTCCCTCTAAAACAAAATGATTTTCTCATCACTTAGGTAGAAGGGCCTCCAATCACGTTCTTTATGTCAACATTAGCATAGAGTTAAATATACCTCCAGAATTCTAACAAATAATATCTATGAAAATTGAGTTAAACCTTCGTTATATCGCAACCATTTTTTGCCATATTATATGTGAGCACCCACATACAAGGCATTTGCGATTTGCGATTCATCGTACTCATTTTCGCAATAATCTCATGCACGCCAGATGCGTCCATTTGTTTTTCACTTTCATGTCTGGAAGTTCAGCAGACACAAGCACCTTTATCTTACTGTCCGCACTTGAGTCATGTCAGCAGACGTCGGCGCACATTGAGAACAGATCTTTGGCAAACAAGGACTCAGGTTTCCCGTAGCTTCCTACCCTACGGCTGATGTCACCTCTTCCTGCTTCCGAATAGGGAGTGGACGCTCCAGTCGGACTTAACAATGTCAGCACCCTTCTCTCCAATCATTATGGAGGGTGCATTTGTGTTCCCGGAAACGATGACAGGCATTATTGAAGCGTCTATTACTCGCAGCCCGCCCACACCTTTCACTCTGCAAAGAGGAAAACAGCTCATTGTAGAGAAGGTACACTTCATGTATGAGCATTCAATTATGAAACTTGCATTCCTCATATTATTCAAGTAATATTCTCATAAGCCAACCAGCGCCATTGTCAAAACAAGTACATAATAAGAATGTTTCACAACACCTGTCGTCTTTGCTTTTTACACAAGTTAGTTTTTGCAGATATATATTTACAACCGTAGTAAATAGATAGGAAAGAAAAATCATCATCGTTTTTTTTTTATTTTCTTTGGAAATTCTCTCTGAATGCCATTGGAAATGACAAATACACATTGTAAACTCTTTTATAGCCATTAACATTATAACTAAGTAAAACATGTGTTGTATAACACCACACATGGAACGTTTGCTTTGTATTTTACAGAAAATTAATATATATATATATATATATATATATATATTTGCTTTCTCTTATGAGACATCAACATACTTCTAACGCTGCTACGTTTTCTTGTGTTTAATTTAAAAAGTATGCTATAGCAGTAAAAACACCGCACTGGCACGGCGTCTATTTTTCAGGCTCAGCGACTCACAGGCAATATGGTATCCATAATATGGGTCGTCCACAATAAACGTGTTCCTGAAAATTTTTTTTAAGCGTGCCATCGCAAATTTTACCCTCAGGTAAGTTTATACTTCCAATCTCTAGCACACACAGTAGCAATGCAGCATTCTATGGGTTGGAAAGCAAGCACTGCAGGTACGTGATACCATTTGTTGGTCTCCTTATTCTGCCACACCTTTTCATTGAACATGCGCGTCTGTAACACAATGTCTCTTTGTCCTAACACGAGGAACAACACGGTGCACGAGCCAGTATAACCGTTTGTTTTGTAAAAGTATTTTCCCTCTACCAGGGTAGCCGAAAAATAAAACCGCTTGGCGACTTCAAAAGTTGGAAGAATATAAAATTTAAAAAAAAAAGCTGAAGGAGCATGACGGATAGCACCTTAAAAATGTGAGGCCAAGAAAAATTGAAATAAGTTATTCACGCACATAGCTCTGTGTGTGTTCTGTTGCTTCCGTCGTCTCCTTTTTTTGCTCAACTTTCCGGAATGATGAAAGTTCAATAGCTCGCATCTATTTTCAAATATATAAAAGCGCCAAAAACGACACGACAAAGAAGAGTGGATATAACACAAGGCGCAGTCTTTTTTGTACGTTTCTCTTGTTCTTGCGCAGTCTTGTACTGTCCACTCCCCTTTGACCTTGTCATTTTTTTAGCTTTTATATATATTACTATGAACCAACTTGCTTAAATTTCTACTTTGCCTTATTTTCTTTGCTATTTTCTAGGGCTGGAATATTGGTCGATTAACCTTACAACTAACCGATTAATTTTTTAATCGCGGTTAGTGTGTGTAGCCACTTAATCGGTTCGGCTCTGAGTTAGAAATTTTGAGGACAAGGTAAAAATTGGCTTAACTTAGGACGCATTCATTAATTTTAACAGGGAGAACTTAGTATTCTACGGCAATGAACTTTAGCAACCACTGCGATCAATATCGAGAGTGAATACAAGGTTTAAATAAGAATTTAGAAAGATTTATTTCTAAAATTTTATGCGTGTGTTGTTGTTGGTTTTTGTTTTCTTTTCTTTTTTTTTTGTTAGCGGTACGCAGTAAATATTATATGAGGCTGTACGTTCCAGCAAGGAAAAAGAAAAAGAGAATTGCATAGTTTTTATACTTTTTTTAATTATTATGCCTTAAAGTCACCCGGGCCAATTTATCAATCAATCAACTAGACTCGAGGGTAGTGATGAACCGGGTTATAACTTTTAATCGACGCCGAGGTTTAGGATTATTTCTATGGCGAGTCAATTATGTCCATCCTAACCGGTACCTGAGGTGAGGATCCACCACCGTGGTTGGATCCCAGGGTTGACCCATCTTGCACGTTCCAACAGGATGGTAGATGGTGTTGGTGAAGGTGCGAGCCATGCACGCCAGGTACTCGTCGCCCAGAAACTTGTAGTGGTCGCAACCAGGAAAGACTTTGTCCCACATTTTGACGCCATATTTTCTGAAGGCCGGTGCCTGTCCAACCGCTATTGAAAACTTCATTCCTGAAAATAAAATCAAGAACTTCCTCAGCGATACATTTTGGGAAACAGGCTTTGAGGAAATTCGCTCTGTAGTAACTACGAAAAAAAAAGTTTGTGCGCCATACGATGTTATTTGCTATGAGCTATTTAATTGATGAATTGAACGCTCGGGAAGAGGGACGTCCACGATTCCATTTAAATTAGAAGTCTGACTTATGAGTCATTCTGAATAATATTATAGGGAACACTACCCAAAAAACACTATACTATCCACCAACATCTGGAGGGTATTCGCAGAAAGTTAATTTGTTTACACTGCAAAAATTTTTTCCAAATGATTTTCAGCCCAGCGCTGCTAAAGAAAAAAAAATGTACAACGATCACCAACTAGCCCAGCTTTCAACCTTAGTACTAAAGAAAATGTGCAGGTTCGAGCGCTTTGAACGAGTTTTTTTCCCATTCCAATAAAACTTTTTTGGATGTAGCTGGTTCATTTCATCTAAAAGGTTAAAATCGCGAACTGAAACACAGACGAAATAAGAAACACGTACGGCAAGGACAGGCGCCTGTCCTTGTGGTACGTGCTCCTTGTTTCGGACCGTGTTTCAGTTCGCGCTTTTAAACTTTTAAATTTCTCCGTTCCACGCTTTGACATAAATTTCACTTAATACGACTATTATTTCTGCATGAAACTATCCAGCAACTTAATTTTTTTTTTGGTCATATACAGAAATTTAATGGAGCCGGTTACCATGGACTTCTTGATTTTGCATTTTCATTTTCTTTTATTATGAAAGAATGTAATTTGCAAAACTTAGTAAGTGTGGGGAAACCTTCTTTAATTATTTTTGTTCAGCATAAGAACACATTTTTCGTTAAATTTACTCTCATAGCAACCAGCAACAAATGTTCGAGTATGCATTCCAACAAAAAAAATATGTTGTTATGAGCACCATTTCTCAAAGTTTGATTCACTGGGCAGATTCTATGCCAGGTCATAAATTACTTGGTTCTGGGCGTGTGGTACCGCTTAAAATTGGGTCACAAAGTTGAAACGTGGAATGCGCCCCTTCTATATGGCTACAAACACTACCTCCAAATTTCACGCAGATTATATGAGCGGTTCAAAATTTTACAATCCCAAATGCTATTTTAAGTGGTTAAATTTCAGTACTTTTGCGGCGACAACAGGGGTGAATCATGTCATTGTTTATGGAAAGAATGCCGGAGTTCAAAGAGCAGGAGTGGTATTTGTCGTGATGAATCGTGCACGATGTAATTCTTGAAGACACTGCACTAGGTAACTATTGCAGAAATATTAGATAGGTCTTCGGTCTGCTTACTTAAAGCAAGTTCAAAGCTTCCATCTCCACAAGGTAATCAACGTTGTCTTTAAGATCTTTAAGATCAAAATAAAATATGTTGTATTCCTTAAGGAGAGTGTGTTTCATTTCAACACAATGCAATTGAAGAAATATCTGGTCACAACTGGAGTGTATTCCCAATTTACATATCACAATAGAAAATAACACAGTACAGAAAAGGAACATATAGGTTACCTTTGGAAGTATATCCCCTTTATTTATGATACAGGATGCCCAACGTAAATTGAGCTAATGTTAAAAAATAGTTCGATGCCTTTTAAGAAGACGAAACAAAAGGAACATATGTGTTTATTGTTTGGAGAAAGTCAGGCTTTCTTTTAAATTTTGCTCAATGAAAGAATCCATGACCTTTTAAAATATTCTATTTTCAACGAAAGTTACATTCATAAAGATGTATGGCGTCTTAATGGGCACAGTGGCATCGTCAAGATGGCGCCTCTCAACTAAACTTTGTGTTCATTGCCCAGATGCTACTTCCGCCGCTGCACCAGGATATGGGATTCAGCGAGCACTATAAAGCGGCATATCATCGCGGCGGCTTCGTCGTTCCAACCGATAACGCGCAACCAAGTGTGACGGATGGGGGCAGCTTTTGTTTTTGTGGAACCTCAACGGACATTTGGATTACCCGCGGCCAGTATCGACGGGGACAGAAGCTACTCCAGCGACGCTGGGAACTATAAAAGACTAACCACAACCTGCACTTCTTCGTGGGCATGGTGGCATTGTCGAGACGACGCTTTTTGACCACTTTGTGTTCATTGCACAGGTAGGGAAACAATATCCTTGTTGCCTTTGTAGTAACAATATTTGTCTTCCTCTGCTACCGTGCCCACAGAGTTATTTGCGTGTACTGCATGAATTTAGAATGTTGCCGAAAGACTACTTTTGTTGTGTGTTGACTTTGAAGCAAATCCCCGACCAACTGAACTAGAAAGGATACTGGAAAAACTAGATATTTTCTCGGCTGGCGTCAAGAAAAACAAACTGAGTCAGGCGGAAACAAAATCCAGACCAGAGACCATAGAGTTGCAAATTAAAAGCCATGAAGGTTAGAGGTCCGCTGTGAACGAAAACCCTGACAAGACAAAACAACTCGAATCTACTGTTGCATCACTCGTGCATAACATTTATGACATGGAAATTCGCAGTAGAAGAAATAATGTTATTATTTTTGGTCTTCCTGAGCTGGAAAACGGAGAGAGCAGCAAACTTGAAAGCGAGCAACAAAGGAGGTTCTTGAGGATAAACTATCCGTATACACCAACGGAATCGAATATATACATCGCCTGGGGAAAGCAACAAAGGGAAAAACTTGTCCAGTGATTCTCAAACTAAGGCGGAGGGCAAGTTCGTCTGCTTCTTGCGCAGGGGCTAGCGGTGACGTCACAACGCCGAGCCCTGATTGGCTGATCGCGACCCCCTATCTGAGCGCCGTCTGCTCCTTTGCAACGTCGTCTGCGTCTGTCTTACCTTTCCCGCGACTTTCGGAAGTGCAGGTCTTTACGAGCGAGCTCGACTTCGCCTTTCAGAAAGGGCAGACGAAATAACTCGAGCGGTACGTTGTTTTTGTCTAACCAGACGCGCACCAAGGACAGAAGTGAAAGAACTCACTGGCGAACTGTCCCGAGGTGCCGAGGTTTGTTTGCTAAGAACTGAGAGTGAAGGTGGTTAGTGTCCGCAAGTTCCCTCCCAAATACATTTTCCCTCCTTTCGTGTGCAGCGAGACTCCTCAATCTTTAACGGCGTCGGCGGGTTGGCGCGGTTGGCGCAGTTAACGTCGTCTGCTTTACGTCTGCTGGTCAAAGCGATGGCTGCTTTACCTTTCCTGCGTCTGTCGGAGATTCACCGTTTTCTCACCGGCGAGAACGCGGCCTTCCAAAGAGGCGAAAAGAAATAGCTTTCTTTTGGGGTGAAGGATTTGACTCTAGTTGCGAATGTCCAGGCGTCGTTTAAGAATTGTAACTACGCGGTAAAGATGACGCTCTCCGGTAAAAGTGATATTTTAGATTCATTGTGAGTGCCCTCGCGGGGCTGCAAAGTGCAGTCACATGGTGGCTACCGCACTTTACGCGGCTCTATATGGACTGTCCAAGACGGACCTTCCACAGCAATGGCTGCAACGCCCCAAGAGCAGCATGCCGCGTCAGATCGCTCGCTCAGGTAAGAAGTAAACGCCATGTTCATCGCTATGTTAAAACATTTAGTTGCACGAGTATCGTGAATGGTACCTCGCGTTTAATGAGTTGTTCAAAGATAATCAGCTAAGGACAGATGACAGCCGATATAGTGACTGTAAATAAACAAATGCGGCTGTGCAATCGGTACAGTGAGCACATCATAGCCCAAAAGTGCTTGATCGCTGCTTGTTGTCACAACTTTCTCGCTCGACTGTTGTCAGTTAGCGTATTGGGGTATGTATGTGTGGCATAAACCCAAGTGGCAAAAGTTTGAAAACCTGTGCTAATCTGTGGAAGAGAATCCGAGCAAGATCGATCGTACTACCCGAGTGGCATCAAACTAATTATCGCGGAAGTTATGTCGTAGACTCGTTGACACGGAGAAGTAATTATTGTTATAATGCAATTGAATCCAAAGGTGCAAGCGAGCTCTGCAAGAATGACGAAAATACTTCCCGGAGAAGGGGAACAAAGGACTAACAGAAATATTTTTTCAAGGCCGCGTTCCCGCCGGTAAAAAAGCGGTGAATATCTGACAGACGCAGGAAAGGTAAAGCAGCCATCGCTTTGACTAGCAGACGTAAAGCAGACGACGTTAACTGCACCAACCGCGCCAACCCGCCGACGCCGTTAAAGAGTGAGGAGTCTCGCTGCACACGAAAGGAGGGAAAAAGTATTTGGGAGGGAACTTGCGGACACTAACCACCCTCACTCTCAGTTCTTATTAGCAAACAAACCTTGGCGCCTCGGGGCAGCTCGCCAGTGAGTCCTTTGACTTCTCTCCTTGATGCGCGTCTTGTTAGACAAAAACAACGTACCGCTCGAGTTATTTCGTCTGCCCCCTCTGAAAGGCGAAGTCGAGCTCGCTCGTAAAAACCTGCCCTTCCGAAAGTCGCAGGAAAGGTGAGACAGACGCAGACGACGTTGCGAGCAGACGACGTTGCAAAGGAGCAGACGACGCTCAGATAGGGGGTCGCGATCAGCCAATCAGGGCTCGGCGTTCTGACGTCACCGCTACCCCCGGCGCAAGAAGCAGACGAACTTGCCTTCCGTATTGACTTCAGAGACAAGGTGAAAATTCTACATAAGTGTAATAAATTAAAATATGAACCATTACCTGTCAGTGATGACTACTTGAAACGAGTTCAAAGAATTCGAAAATAGAAAATGCTCGAAAGTGCGAAACCGAATAAGTTTGCCGGTGAAAAGGTCACGCTGATATACGACAAAGTTTAAAATAAACGGAAAATTGTAGATTTGGGGCGAGGTCGAAAACGATAAGATTTTAACATCTGGTATTGCAGTGGCTTCAAGTGCATGACTAAAGCGTATACCCATATCAATTATACTTGCGAATTTCGCCTATTCAAATTAAATGCGAGGAGCATCGTGAATAAAACTGATAAATTCGAAACTTCTACTTTTAATCTCGAACCTAATAGTGTATTAATCATCGAAACGTGGTTGTCGAGCAGCATACAAGATAGCGAAATCACGCCACCCAAATACGCAATCCTGCGCAAAAATAGGGGATCACGTGGCGGCGGAGTCGCGATTCTTGCTTGAAACGGGATTTCATGTACATTTCCACTCGATTCTCGGGGAATTGAAAGCTTATGGTGTAAAATGAGCTATTAGAACACTTGCTGTTTCATTGCTGTTGTCTACAGGACCCCAACACAACCCCAAAGTTCTTCCATAATATGTACGATTATATGTGTAAGAATCAACATGAGTACCAAGAGCATAATCGGAGGAGAATTTATTTTACCTTGTGTTGGTTGGTTCTCTTTAAAACAAAAAACATTATCTCATGGTATTAATATTCTTTCAGAACCATGTTTTCATTATAACCTAACTCTAATTGTTATGGAAAATACTCGTAATCAAGGCTCACACAATAAGTACTTGATTTGGCTTTTGTTAGTGATCAGTACAGAATCGACGTGTTAGATGGTATATCTGACCACGAAATTGTTTTTTGCTCTTTTAAAAAAAGCACTGTAGTTTCTGCTAGGCCGCAGGTTTCTGCAGTTCTGGACTATAGCATAGCAGACGACGTCGGCGTTCTGGATTACTTTGATATGCATATTGACAAATTCTGATCGCTCTCCTGAGACGCTTTTACCCCTACCGATACCCTTTGGAGCGAATTTAAAGTAGTCACTCAGCTCCGCATTTCAAATTTTATTCCAACTAAGACTAAAATAACTGTCACGAAAAACCTTTGGATAACGCGAGAAATCATTCACGTAAAACGTAAAAAAAAAATAGGCTGAGGAAAAAGTGCAAAGAAAGCTAAAACATCTCTTAATAAAATTAAGTTGGTACAGCTAAATACTGAGCTTGGCCTCAAAGTTAAACCAGCTAAATATAGATTTTTTTAATGTAACACTTCAGTTGTCAATGAACGTCACCTTGCAAATTTTGGAGTCACGTTAACCTTAAAACTAAGTCACACCTAGAATCACTTTCAAATGATAAAGCTAATCTTGCAAAAATGTTTAACGAGTATCCTTTTTTCTGTATTTACTACGGATAACGGTAATATGAATTATTTTGTCTCTTGTTCAGCTCTGGCCACATTGGGCGATGTAGCTTCCGAACAAGGTGTGTTGCAGCTTTTACTTAACCTCGAAATAAAAAAGAGTGCTGGCCTTGACAATATGCCCAATGAATATTTTAAAAAGGTACGCGGAATGGATAACAAAGTACCTCGTACTTATTTTAAATTTAGTTTAGTTTATTTTACCCCAAAGGCATTTCACATGAAATGCATTACATGATGAAGGGGAATCATATGACATATTCTGCAGATAGCAGGAGAGTGATGAGAATGTAAAATATAGGAAAACACAAAGCTACCAACTAATAGGACAAATACTAAAACATAACAGGTAGAAAAAGTATTAACAAATAAACCAGTTAAAGATCAACACTTTTCAGGTGTGCCTTGCAGATTTTACGGAATGTCTTCGGGTTAGATTCACGTACTATGGTTTCAGGACGGGAATTCCAGTTAGTAATAGCAAGAGAAAGTGGGAAATTTGGAAATCTGTTAGTTCTCAAGAATAGAGGTTTAACTTTCAGATTGTGGTGATGACGCATGGAGATGTGAAGTGGCAGGTGACAATTGCTATTTCGAAAATCAAAAGAGGAATAGTAAATTTTCTGAAAAAGGACAAGACGAGCAAGCTGAGTTCTTTCAGATAGAGGGCATAGGTCGAGGTTGGATTTTAGTGCATTTAAGCTTGACGCTCGCGAGTAGTCATCTGTTGTAAAACGTGATGCCTTGTTTTGCACCAATTCAAGTTTAGTAATGAGATATGGTCGATGAGGCCATTAAATAAAGTTGGCGCAGTCCAATTTTGATCGGACGAAAGTTTTATAGTCAGTTAGTTTAACACAGCGCGGAGTGAGCTACAGGTTGCGTTTTATGCATCCTAAAGATCTGCATGCACTAGCCACTATAGTGTCAATATGGGTATTCCAAGTTAGATCTTCAGAAAATGTTACGCCTAAATATTTGTAGCACTCCCTTGAAAAAGGCGAAATTCCCAAGGACTGGAAATTGGCTAATGTTATCCCCATATCTAAATTTGGCAACAAAAACAAGATTACTAATTACAGGCCTGCATCTCTCCACCTAAGCTTGCCGTAAAATACTAGAGCACATTATCCTAAAAACACATTTCAGCCTTCGTTGCACACAATATAATAACCCTATTCCAGCACGGCTTCAGGCGTCATTTTTTTTATTTATTTAGTTGAGGACATCCACCGACAGCTAAACGCCTTATCAGTGGCACACCAATAGATTCACAAAAAAAACAATTAATGCCAACACTGCAATAATAAAACTACAAAGACAACAATGAAATGCAAATGTCCTATGTAATTTTCGCATCCACTACGTTTTTAAATCTACTGTTATTCAGCTGACCGAAAGCATTCATGACTTTTTTTTACTGTAATTAACAACTGGGGCCAGGTTGACGTCATATTCATAGATCTACCGAAAGCCTTCGACAGAGTATCCCACACAAAACTACTATTTAAGCTAGAAAATAATCTGAGGGTAAATAAAATACTTAATTAGATAACAAACTACCTTTCTGATCGCTATCAGTTTGTGACAATCAACGCTCATACGTTCTCGAAGGAAAAAGTTTCATCTGGTGTTTTACAGGGATCGGTACTAGCACGTTTCCTGTTTCTGATTTACATAAACGACATAGTTCAAAATGTTAATGTAAAAATCTTTCTTTTCGCTGAAGATTGCATACTCTATTCACAAATCGACAACGAACAGGACCAAATCGACCTCAACAATGCACCTCAGCGCACTGTAACAATTGTGTCACGACTGGCAGATGTTATTGAATTTAGATAAAATCGTATCTATTCCCATAACTAAGAAAAACCACGCGCAGCGCGTGCACCTATACGTTCCCGGCATTCAATTTGATGCTTGGGCAATTCGGCAGGAGGTCTATTGGCGAACGGCGATGACGCGTATGCGCAGCGTGGAGCACGGAAGGCTAACGCAAACTTACAGTGCTTGCGTTTGCTTTCATGCGTAATACAACAACTCCGCAATGACGCGCACGGTTTCTTTACGGATCGGGACTGCAATTCGCCTATTGCGTTGCGCTGTGGCGCCATCTCACGGGCGCGACGAGAAACAATGTGGTTGGCCTCGAATTGCAGACGGCGCACGCGCAGTCGGATCTTGCAAAAGGCGATCGCCTTTTGCGTTGCGCTTGGGCGCCATCTCACGGGCACGACGAAAAACAATATGGTGGGCCAGCAAGTGCAGACGGCGCACGCGCAGTCGGATCTTGCAAAAGGCGAATTATTCGCTATACTTGGCTTCAGCTTAGGTCCGAGCGTGGCCGATCTTGTGAGCCGACATGCAGGCCAATCAAGCAGCGAAAAGGGCATAACGTCATGGTGCAATCTCTATACAGCTGACAGGACCAGCCGCTGTTCGCCGTCTTCCTGTACGTGCTTTTCCGCCGGCTCGTCCTATAAGGCGAAGAGAGCAAACATGCCATGACGTTGCGCTTCTTGCGCTGTTTGGTTGGCTTGTAACATCGGCCACGCTCGGACCTAGGGTGAAGCAGAGTATAGCGCGAATCTGTCAACAGAACACTGTCAACAGTGCCTTATTCAGCACGCGGGCCTTTTTTGTTCCATCCAGAGTTAAGAGTGCTACAATACAAGGCGCGAGAGCGCGAAGTCACGTTTGTTTTCGTAATTCGCGGGCTTTCCTTGAAACCCGGGAAAACAAACCGTGTAAGCGGTTTCTTGATAAATTTCACTGAATTAGATGTTTCTGAGGACGCTTTACAACTCAATCGTTGTAACTTGTGCTCTAAATAAAATATTTATAATGTTAGTTATTTAATTTTAATTAATTACTCCATTGGGCACATTTAAGAAAATAGCCCGACTTGCTCCAAACAATAAAAAAACTTATTCCTCTTTAATCCTTGGATCAGGTTACATGGAACACCCTTTATACAGGGGGGAGGGGTAAATCAGCAGGTAAGTAGGGGACATATTATTTGCATCAATTTAGCAAAAAAAGAAAAAGAAGCTAGGAAAAAAAATTCATAGCTTAATAGGCACACTCCTGAATCATGACGTCTGCAAGCCCCTTTCATTAAAATGGCCGTTTTCATATTGATATCCTTAACAATATAACATAATCTAAGACAATTGAATTAAAATATCGGTCAATAAACAATTATATTAGCATTTTTAGAATGACTGGTCCATACCGTCAACGACGGTCATGATGTCGTCTGGGTGGCTGAAGTACTTGGGGTCAATGATGGGCGGGTCATGAATGTTTCGTGATCTTAACTTGATGTACCCTCTCGACTTCGGCCTCAGCAGCACGGGATACACCGACATGGTGTCTCTGTAGACGTATGGAGCATACACTTTCTCCCAGAGCTGAAAAATAATGTGAAAAATATTAGAATAAATTAAACATCAGGGGGAGGAGATATGTCCATTTGTTATATTTTTAGGTGTTGATCTTAAAGACCGCTGGAAGAGATGACGTACTTTAATGTCACGGACAGCCTATCTTATGACAGTCCAGTCGACATGAAAGAAACATTAAAACTGCCGGCTAAGGGGCATCACTTCAGTGTTTAATGTCTTGTAAACAAAAAATGGCCTAGAGAAGGTCTGGTGTCAGCGTAGGAAAACCCGAGCTGATACTAGAGTCAAAGAGAAATTCGGTGGAGTCGTGAAGAATAAACAAAGGCAACATGAAGCACAAAACAGAAGTTGATTGGCATATGAACAACCCAAACACTGGAAAAATTATTTATATAATTCTACTGTCTTCTCTGTGATACAGTACCACAGTTAAGAATTAACAAAGAGGAATCTGTGTACATAAATTAATTACCTTTTTAGTATAAATTAACACAATGTGAAATGGGCGTTAATTGTAAACATGAATTTATACGAATGAGAGAGTGGAACTAATGTCCAGTAAGAGAGTGACATTGATTTGGTTTCTGAACATTAACCTGTTTCCCCTAAAAAGAATGTATATTTTTATTCAAAATAAACTAACTTGATCATGCTTTGGACCTATAGGTGAGCTTGACAGGCACAAAACCGTAACTATAGTCAATCAGATTTCTATGCTAAATTTCATGAACTCCGTGGAACCTTAAATTGACCATGTCAGATTCTGTATTCACTTTTCAAAGCTTGTCTAATGCATTCCCTAATATAGGTGCTTAATGAGGCAGTAAGTATTGACGACGAATAATCCATATGCAAAAATGGTAATACACAAACTAAATTAGCTGAACACTTGTGAAGTTTGCTGACGCTCGTTTGTTTCATAACACGCAGAAGGACTCAACAATTGAGCGAGAACAAAATAATAAGCATACCTCATCGCCGATCCCTTCTGTTCTTCGGAAGGTCTGCCCACCATCCGACACGGGTGAGCCTGACAGGTAATGAATCTCAATATCTGGCCAATCCATGCTTTTGTTTGCATACTTCGTGTTGATAAATGCCAGCCCCTCTACTCCGCCTAGTAGTGTCAGCGGACCTGATGATGTAAAGAAATAACTCGGTATAAAGCACAACACTTAGATCACTTTCTTGATCATAAAATTGAAAAACAAGCATGTTACCTATGAGACACTTATCAAAGAACCATATTCTATATTATGTGCATTTGCTTAATGAAAAAGTCTCAGGACAGTTTGATGTTTGGACTTGTCTGTTTACCATATCTTGGTTGTCTATTGGCGATATTTTATAAAACGAATGTGGTGCATTATAGCCACAAATATTCTGTATATATTATGTGCATGTATAGGTTATGGAGATTGTCTTAAACCACTTAAACCATTAAATACACTGATATAACTACATAATTTTAAGATTTGTTGTAAATAAATGTATCGTATGGTAACCAGGAAACATGGGCTGTATGGGTGCATATTAATTTTCAGGTAGAGAAAATGGTGTTAGTCTGTTCCATATGTTAATACTTATGTCTAATCGTTTTGTTTTAATTAGGAACGGTTCCACAGTTGCCTTGTGTCTTACAAAAAGTGTTGTGTTGCAATAAGATAAGCGTTTATTTGATGAAACCTGTGTTTTATAGACCAACCTACCTTTTCCCACGGTGAGGTACTTGATAATTTCCTTGAGGTTGAAGACCCGTGGTTGAATCATGGATACCTCCTCCTTCACCAAGAAGTTGAGGCCTCCTGGGTAGATGTGATCTTGAAGGTTGCGCCCAACGGGCAAGTCCGCAAGACAAGGAATCTGAAATATTGAACAGTTCTGGAATGTTCTAGATGTGACAGCCTAGACTCTTCTTTCAGAAAATTACGCGTTCAAAACAGAAATCACGGTAGTCAGATATGTAGGCTGATAATATCTAAGGACAGCTTGCAACCAAAGCCTTTGTGGGTTTGTCTGTAGTCTTTCATCTACAGGGTGCGGCCGTAAAAACTTTCACATTTGGCACGCCTAGCAAAAATCGAATTTCAAACATACATACCTGAAATTGGGCGCACGAACGTCGTTTATTCCAAAGTTTTTTGCCTATTTTTTTCAGACGTCAACTCTGGAGTAGCGAATTATTAGAAAGATAACAAAAATGGCAGACGTGCATTTCCTGTGGCCTATACCCACCCGTTCGACGTCTGCTATCTGGTTCGCGACGCCGCTCCCAGGTGGCGCACTGAACCCAAAAACGCAGGAAACCCGCTCGAAAGGCTAGTGTTGGGCGAGATAATCGCGATAAAAAGTGATTTGAACCAAATATATGAACAATTGTTGAAATTACCTGTTTCAAGTCAAGTTCTGACAGATCGTCATGCAAGCAAGAAGACACCATGATGCGACGAGATCATTTATTTACAGCTGCTCGTCTTGTTGACAATCGCGGGTCGCTCTCGAAGACAGCAAGCACCGCTTCAATGAGCTCCTCATTTTTCAGTAGGCTCTCACGTTCACTGACTGGATTCTTCTTTTTACAGTCTTCTCCACTCACAAAACGATCCGCCCAACTCAAAACAGTTGGGCGTGAAGGCGAGGCGGGCGTTTATGAAATGCAGTGCGAAATTTTTGTTGTGCTGTGGCCACCGAGTTCCGCTCCACGTATACCACTTGACTGCCTGGGCACACTCACTTGCCGAGTATTGCGGCATCGCAGGGCGGCGCAGAAAATGTTTTGATAATAACTGCAGAAGACAGTGCAACAAAAGCAATAAATAGGAACAATCAAGATGCCTCAGCAGCGGCACTCTTGACTCCAAAGTTGAGCTTTCACCGGGAACGGACCCGTCAACAGATAAGCAGACGACAAATGAAGACACACGTTCGTCGGCTTTAGAACATATTTTTATTAAACGAGGGCGTCCGCCAGTTTCTAAATTTCAAGTAAAAGGGCATAATCGTTCACATATTTCGGGAAAATCACTTTTTATCCCGATTATCTCACCCAACACCAGCCTTTCGTGCGGCGTTTCCCGCGTTTTTGCGTTCAGTGCGCCACCTGGGAGCGGCGTCGCGAATTAGATAGCAGGCGGCGAACGGGCGGGTATAGGCCATAGGGAATGCACATCTGCCATTTTTGTTATCTTTCTAATAATTCGCTACTCCTGAGTTGACGTCTGAAAAAAATAGACAAAAAACTTTGGAATAAACGACGTTCGTGTGCCCAATTTCAGGTATGTACGTTTGAAATTCGTTTTTTGCTAGGCGTGCCAAATGTGAAAGTTTTTACGGCCGCACCCTGTATATAAAATGTAATCCTAAATATGAAAAGTAGTGACCTTCCTAAACGATATCTTTTTCTTTTTTTAATTCCGATCAATAAATCATGAGACTAAAATTTTAATGAAACTAAACATGCAATTCTGCCTGCTTGGGCGTAGAGCCAAACGATGAAAAAATACTAAAATTTTCAACTTAGGCATGTATCTTCTATTAAATTAGGAAAGATATGAGGATGAAAAAAAAAATCATGTTTTTTTTTCGGTCATAATATAATTTATTTCTGATATCTTCCATTTGCGACCACCTTAAAGGTTTCTGCGGTGAACATCAAGGAACCTTTGTTCTTTTTTTTTGCGCGCGATACGTACTATATCAACGCAGATGTCTTGCAATCGTCTGCCTTTTCAGCTTTTGGAATAACGCAGATAAACCGTGTATTAGTTATGCTTGTAAATGTTGTACGAATCATGTGCTTATAATTGGAGGTTTATTATTGAAATTGTGGTAATTATTTTCCTTGCGCATGTTTGCCACATTAAACATTTAGCTATGTCAGTTTATCACCTCTCCTGTCATTTGAAACATCTTAATTGCGCATCGCCTGCATAAATTCTTGTGTAAGTTCCGTTATCTTTACGAGGCTACAAAACTATATATTTCATTGTTTGGCTGAAAGCTGAAATGGTAGTATTGGTACCCCTTAAATATTTTGTGCCGAAAAAAAGACCCGCTGGAGTATGGTTCATTAGTTATATATCTAGGCACCAAACAGTAGGGTTACTTTATTGCTGCGACCAAGCGTAACGTCCCGCTCGTGAGCTTTTTTCCAACTTTAGAGCCGCTTGCACGAGAATACTGCTTTTACGGAATAAATTGGCCAGCATTGCATTTTATCGAAGTCGATTGGAAGCACTTAAAAGTTGTTTTCGAATATGCCTTTGAAGCTATGCTTTTTACAAAAGCGGATCCTTAGCACACACTATTAAATTGTGACACAATATGTATCATTGTATATGCATCAAGCGCTCAATCATTCAGGAAATGCAGAAGAATTAAATGTACAACACACACACACACAAAAAGAAAAACGCCTTCGTTTTTGGTAAACTGTTCTCGGAAATTGTTGATATCCCTTGCCCAAAAATATCAAACAGCTTGGTAAGGTGTTTTTTTTTTTATATAATAATAATTTTGGTGTGTAGCTTTTTGTTTCTCGATACTTACGCCCAGCTTGTGCAGTTCGTGTTGTGGTCCGATTCCCGAAATCAAGAGCAGCTGAGCAGAGCCGATTGACCCAGCCGACAGGATAACTTCTCGTCGTGCATACACCATGTGGGGAACCTTGAATCTCTCAAATTGCACAGCTCGAGCATGATTGAATTCATCAAAGTGTATCTGTAAAAGAAGATTGAAAAATGAATATCATCGTTGGAAATTCGCGCATGTTTGTGTTGCAATAGCACTAATATCACAGAAATCACTGTGGTGTGCAAAAATGTTTTAACACGGTAAGTGTTTTATGGACCACCTTTGATAAGAAAATTGTAATTAAAAATCGTCATGAACAAGCGTCATGAACGAACGGCACGCAATTCTTTTACACCAATCCAGCTTCCAGGAGAAGCTTGACGTCACGTAACCTTAACAGCAATACAATTTTCCCGCTATATTTGCGTGAAAAACCAACATCGTGCGTTCCTATATCATGCGAACAATAAAATAATTCACTTTCTCCGCTAACAAGAATAAACAACAAAAAAAATTATTGTGTGGTTTGTGCGGGATACTTTCTCATTTCCCTGGTCTCAGTCAGCCAGATTAACCTTCCGTAATCGTATTTGTTTTAAAAATTTTGTTTGCAGTGCAATTCCTGCAATCATTCATTGCAAGTATATAAACTTGGAAGCGTGTTGGTATTAGAGAAAAACGACATAAAGAAGTGTACATCGTCCCTTTGTGCTAAGCGTGACATTCTTTCTGTCGTCTTTATTCACTGCAAGCATCAGAGGAATTTTATCGAATTACTGAAGTCGGCATAAGATTAGACCTTAAAAATAAAATTGTCAAGAGCGTGACCTGCCCATTGCTGATTGTTGCTGCGCTCACTGAATTATTTTGGTGTAATTGAGATCCGAGCTTTATTTATGTGAATAATGTATTTGAGCATTATTTAAGTAATGTTAATTTTTTGAAAACAAAGTTATCCACATAAAATCTCTGCATCGAAAATTCTTGTATATCCTACCGTTGCGGTCAGCTAAAACAAATTGCTCATTTCACTTTTCTATAAATTATAAAGATTATTTCAACGTAGTAAGCAACGTGAAATTTGAAGTTTAACTAGCGCTTTTGAGGCGCATTATGTGACAGGCCAAAACCGCTTTTGTCTACGTATCACGCTGCGATTTACTACAGTGGTGCAGGCAGGAACTGGAGATTTACAGTGAAAAACATCATTGAATGAACTCATTTTGTTCGAAAAAAACAGAAACCTGTTCTGGGAAAAGTCTACGCCGCCGCTTCGCGCACGACACACGCGCAGTTAGAAGTGCTGCCGACAGATGGCGTACGCCGCTTCGAGAGAGAGGGGAAACGCCAGTAGATTCGGGTCATAATAGGGGACGATCCCGCAAAAGCTCCCCAATCGACCGGCGCTCCCTCCCTCGACGTGGCGTACGCCATCTGTCGGCAGCACTTCTCGCAACGCGTGCATCGTCTGCGAAGTGGCGGCGTATAGATTGCCCAAAACGAGTATCTGTATGTTTTTTTTTATTGAGGAAGTTCATTTGCATTTTCACAAACGTTCACCACCTTCTCGCGGCCCTTGGGCAAATTGCAGCTCGATAAGTTGAGAGACCGCTTTTTGCGGTCCGTAAAAAGTTCCTTAAAAGAGTTAGTTCACACGTTCTAAATCTTGCTCTCGCGGTGACCAAAATTAAACCCCTGCTCTCGTCCAAAGGCCGTCGTCTTCAAAGTTTCCTTTGTTGTCTGCTAAAATTGGTTTAGAGTACATTGCGGCCTTGACATTCCTTTCAACGCCACGGATGGCTTTGCACGCTTTGCAAAAGCAGAATTGCACTGAAATAAAATGCTTAGATGGGCCAGTTGGTACATCGTGGGAAAATAAGCGCCAAAAAAACACGGACAAAGAGTAGATTGACAACGACACAGGGCGCTCTGTGTCGTTGTCAATCTACTCTTTGTCCGTGTTTTTTTGGCGCTTATTTTCCCACGCAGAATTGCACTTGGGCAAATTGGTCGTAGATTGTAGAGAATTTGCAAAATGCTATTTGTGCCCGGGGTTGGTCTCCCCATATGTGAACTAGCAAATTCAGCACTAGCCCTTGTTACCTCGGAGATGTTATGTAACAAAAGTGATGACGTCACAGCCTTTTTGAAAGATTTCCCCTTTGCATTGTGGGTAAAGCCGAAACACCTCGCGATTTTATTTTATTCGTCCAATTAATGACAATTTGCCGGCCTTACACGTTGCTTTACTAAGAAGCGACGCTTAATATGCGCTAGTAGCAGATATTATTTTGAAAAAAATTTACTAGTCGTAGATACACTTGTCATCAAAGTTTTCTTTTCTAACACAATATTGAAGATGTTCTTCTTATCAAAAATTTATAAAGAAAAGTTCTCGTACGAATGGTTATTAAGCGATATACTTTTGAGTATTAATAACATGTACCTACAATTTAGATGGCCCTAATAGTGACTTTGCTGCTGATTATGAAGACAATATGCATTGCAGTATTTGGCTCTGCAGTCTAATCTTCCGGGAGTTTCGTGGGTATCCCCAAGATATGATGCATCCGTGCTACAAAAAAGATGACTCTCGGTTCATGCCAGGACCATCATCTTCTCAGTAAATGTATCCCGTTATCATTAGCTCGGGCAAAACTGAGCTCTCTCGGCTTTAAAAAAGACGGAAACTTCACAAGGAAAATATTTTGGAGTCCAGCAAAGAGAGCGAAATCTTACCTTTGTGGCCACAGAATAGAGCGTAATGTGAAGGTTTTTCCTGTGGCGAATGGGTTTGACAAATGCCTTGCTTGTGCTACACCGTGCACCTCTTCGTATTGTACCTTGTGGTATCATGAATCCTAGAAGGAGAGGCGACATATGTAGGCCACATTATTGTTACGTTCATCACCGACAGTGCAATTATAACTAAATGGTGATTCCCAAAGAGAAAATAAAATTCAAGAGATATGTAACAAACTTCCACAAGAAGCACAATGCTTTCGTTGGTGCTCGCAAAATTTTTTAACGTGTCAAAGCACCAATTTTTGCCACGTAATAATCGCGGCTGGAGTGAAACCATTCACACACACATATATATATATATATATATATATATATATATATATATATATATATATTGTTTTTTTTTAATTCTTTTAAGATACAACAGAATTTCACTTTGTGTAATGGCACTGTGCAACAATGGCACGTAGCCGCAGCTCGTCATTCATGCGTAATTCATAGGATCTGTCGCACTACACTCCGTTTCGTATTAAGTCCAACCGCAGCCAATACTACGATCGAATCAAGACGGTTTAAGGAGCGCCAAAAGCGCATCGTCATGGCGCTCGCCGTTTGAAAGCGATATTAAAGCGTCTGGGCAACCTGGTGATCCTCAGCGTCCGACCAGGTTTCCCGCATGTTAAATCGGCTCCCAGTGTAAGATTTTCTTCACTGTTACCCGCCTCGGAGAATGGCATAACGCGCTGGTTCAATAACACGAAGTCACATATTAACTGTTATCGCCCGCGCCGCGACCCAGAAAATCCCCGCACGTACTTGTGCGCCGTCCTTTTATTAGCGGCGGAGCACCGCCCGTGTGGCCTAGAGTTCCTCGATATGCTCCCCCGAAGGGGGATCAGAGTTGCGCATTTGTTTTCCCCTCGCCGCAACGCCGCAATTCGCCGAGATGCATCACGTGAGGAGCAAAGCACCCACGCCGTGCAAGAAAGCCACCTTTACGGTCGCCCCACCGACGTTTCTCGCGCCCCGGCGTATTTTCCCCTGCTTTCCGCCTCCTTTTCCTCCTCTCCTGTTTTCCGTGCGCGGCGGCGCGCGCGGCGCCGCTATTCGTCAAATTTAGTCACGTGAGGAGCAAAGCATCCATGGCGTGCGGGAAAGCCGACGCTACGGCCACTCGCCGAGGCTGAATGCGCAACTCTGCTACCGTAGGTAGCTATACAGGAACTCTAGTGTGGCCGATTACGCTTCGCCACCTCGCGAAAGAAATGATGAGAGTCGATTTAAGGTGCCGGAAACCTGGTCGAACGCTGTGGATCACCAGGTTGCCGACAAGCGGTAGGTTTATCGGGCCAACCAGCTTCAGGAGTCGCGTAAGCGCGACATGTGGAGGTCGGTCAGTCTACAACCGGGAAGCGATCTTGGAAAAGAAGGCAACCGGTGCCAGGGATCGAACCCCGATCACCGGCGTGGAAGTGGAGTGCGCAGCTGGCTGAGCTAAGGGCCCAGCACGCAGGAACAGGAGGAGTCGAAGCAGGTGGTGTGAGAAAGCGCGCGAAGCGGAGAAGGGTGGAAAGGGCAAGGGGGAAACGATGATCAGAAACAGGCGGTGTAGAAAGAGCGTGCGGAACGAGGAAGAATGAAAAGGGTAGGAAAGTGCGCTTCTGGTCTCTTAACGACCCAGAAAATGTAACGCAGAGGCCTTGTATACGGGTGGTGCTGAAGGGATGCATGCGCAACGTCATAAAGAAACAATGGTGCGACATAATCTGTTTCCGTACAAAGCCATGTCTTAGGCACCACCTGAATTAAAAACACCACCCACCCCAGGCACTGAAAGGCTAAGGGTCATCTTGCACCAGGCGCCACCCGAATTAAGAGTACCACCCACCGTGTAAAACTACCGCATTAAAACGCTTTTAGCTAAATGATCAAGCATGCGGTCATTTTTTTTTTCCATTTGCTATCACCGGATTGAATCATCGGGCACAGAAAAAAGCGCAAGATCACGGCGCATTTACTGTGCGTGATTGCGTTTAGCCGATGATAAGCAAACGCACAATGCCGACAATCGCCGTCACGACGCACTTTTGGCGCTGCCTGAATGACCGCATCGTGTGGACTAAAGGCGCATTCACACTGGCGGTTGAGCTGCGTTTGCGAAGCGGTGGCGGATGCGGTTCGCCCCAGGCATGCAGACACACCGAGACGAGCTTGGCGGTTCCTCAACGATCACTCGTGATCTTTTGAGACCTGCGTTTGGCAACACTGTTTTGCAATCCCAAATCCAGTTCAATCCACGATTTAAAGCCAAAAAATCGCTGTTTTACAACACTAAAGTTTTTTTTTTTTTTTTTTTTTTTTGTTCTTTGCACGTGGTTTGCAGCCATCGCGAGTTCAAGCGGCGAAAAAGGAGACATGGACCCGCAATATTGCCTGCGATTCCCTCGACTTCGCCCACAATCAAAGCCCAGCTAGGCGCGCCTTGCTGACTCCGAAGAGGATACCCCCGACCCTTTCTTCGTAGTGGACCCTTCCCGCATGAATAGCTGACCTGGCTTTCGGGATAGAGGGCGAGTTTCCCCCTTCGTCGTTCGTTTTATTATTTTAGGAGTAGCGATCGACACTGGTGGACCGTGGTGCGGGAAAGTGTACGGTGCTAGCCGCTCGTGGCTTCGTTAATGGCGGGCTTTACTCTCATCATTCGGACGTCGATGAAGTCTACTCTTTCTTTGACATTAAGCTGAAATAAACGCCGTATGCATTATTTCTGCATTGTCTGGTACATACACTTTATTTCTTGAATATGTTCCTTTTATACTTTTTGGTAGGAAACGTTACAGGTCGAGCTAGCGCAAGTAGCCAGCCAGCTCCGCGGTAGTGTGTTGGCTACGCAATTAGGCTCACGACGTCTCTATCGGCCTCCGTGGTGGCCAGGCACGGTGTCGAAATCTTTCATTGGTTCACGCGAGTGTATTAGTGGGTACAAAAGTAGCCATTTCAGGCGATCAAGGGCGGGTTCCGACGTTCTACAGGCAAAAACTAACAAGGCAACGAGCGGCGGGCTTTGGTAACCCCAATAATAAAAAAAATCTTTTACCCGAACCAAATCACCGGAGAGAAGCCAGTTAAGATTAGGACTCAACTCTCTTCGCGGCGGGTTCAACTGACGGACGTGAATATTACGTTTCTTCGTTGATTTGTCTGCTGCATCTCTATAGGACTACAGCGCCTTGAACACTTCACCAGCGACAGGTGCCATCTTGTTTCGAGAGCCACCGATGTCACATCACCGTCGCGTTTCGCGGTTCGTGAGAGTGGTTGAGGCAAATCGGTCCCGAAGCGGTTGGCAAAAACGCGCTCGCACCGCTCGATCCCAGCCGCTTTGCGGTTGAGAATGCGTGGATCCGCTATGCGTTTGCGAATCCACTTCCAGTGTGAACGCGCCATATGAGTCGGCAGTGGCCGCTCACGTGAAAGGGTGTGTGTGGATTTCCGAGTATACCTGTCTGCGTTGCTCCGTTCACGTCCACGTTGGGGTAGCCCATCTGCAGGCCTGCCTCAATGAAGGCGTGCCCCAGAGGCGTAGCATAGGGAGGCGTGGAGACCGTCAGATATCCTCCGTTACCGTGATGACCTGCATTTTAAGGGATGTTTGAACAGGGACTAAAGTAACTGTATTTGATTGGTAATGAACACTAAAGCATCAAACGGGTTCCAGTAACTCTGATATGACATTCATTTCAAGTGGACGAAGGCGTCCACCTGAACCTGGAGAGTCTACTTCGTCTACTGGGGTAAAACTACACATTGATATGTGGGGGGGGTGATATCGCTTTTTTTTTTTTTTTTTAGAGGGTCAAGAATTTAAAAGAGTGTTAAACTAGCATTATGCTTTTTTTTAGCCCTGGAGCTAAATTAGACGCCATGCGGGCCACTAAAAAAGAGGCAAGATTGGTTAGTTATCTAGCCAATCAACTAAATAGTCTTGAATAACTTCTAATATTTTTGGTTTTGGGGCGTAGTGTAGTTGTAGAAACCACGCTCAGCCTCCCTATTGTCTAGCCGTGACGGGGCATTTTGATTATAAAATTTGTAATTGGCGCTACGGGATGAGAAATGTCATTTTATGTACACAGCTTCATACCGAAATTAATCTGCCGAAGCGCGCCTGTAACGTCAATTATTACGTTCTTTTCTTGCGTCGCATTGTCAGCATTTGAGCTAAGCGCTCCAGCATTGAAGGGGTTGCTTCTTGCTGAGAACATTCAGTAAAATTTGTCGATGAACTCCAAGTACTTATTGGTTCTAGAAATTCTAGAACTGGACTTGGAAGCGTCCCTATTGACGCAGTACTGGCCTCGGCGTAGCTGTGGGGACCAAGCTCCATGGAGGTCAAGAGAGTCCGGTATTGAAGGGGTCGATCTTGACAGGAACCGCACATTTTGCAGTTAGGGTTGTCCACCAAAGTAAGAAGACTTCAGCAATTAACCCGTGGCCTTAGTTCGCTATATAATTTCAAGTATAGGTCTATTGTGGTGGTTGATGATATTATTAAGGTATATCAAACTTACGAATTTAATGCAATACATTCGGGCAACGGAATTGCTAGGATTTGTGTAGTCTTAGCGATGAAGAAACAGGACGCTTCGAAGAAGCTATTTCGCTTGTTGCTGTTTTTTCTTTTTCTTGTGGATTTGTTTGGCATAAATTTAAGTGCCACTGGCTGATGAAAGAAGCAGAAGAAAATACAAAAAACTACATCTGTCCAACTTCGTAATGACATCAAGTTGTTAGCCACTCAGTGGTCTTTAGAGAATTGAAAAAGGGACATATGTGCTGTTTACCTAGAAAGATTCAATTTGTCTAAACATGAGACAGTGGACGTAAAAAAGAATCACGGTGTGCTACGCATTTCTCATCCCTACTACGAATAAAAAAAATATATTACCTACCAGAAAGCTATGTAGCATATATCTATAATACTTATAAAGACGCCTACTTATATATTTCGATAATACGTTTTCAACCTATCGAGAAAATTAATAAAGTCAATTTTGTCCGAGTATATTCGGCTATTATATTTGTCGGAGATCAATGTATTAACCAATTAATCGGTGGGTTAATTCATTAATTTATAAGCCCTAGTCGCAATGTATTGTTTGCAACACTGTGCGACTTGGGCACTGCAAATATGCAGGAGTCACGAAGACTGTAGAGAAGGGGTACTGCGTACATATCATGGTTTGAGTTCGACAGGGTTCGACCTTTATTTAAACTTTTAATGCAAAGTTCGTCAAAATTCGAACTAAAATTTGACTTTATGCGCATGCGCGAAAATTGAAAGCTAGCTGACGCCACCTGCCGAAGGAGGTAACAGGGTAACTAAATCATAACAATGTTAAACTTTTTTTTTTTTTTTTCAATATTATGTACGCATCAGTAATTGTTTTCTTAAGCTTAAACTAAACTCCTGTATAAGTGAATTTCTTTTTCGATTTGAGACTGTTGGGCAAAAACTTCGCAAAGTTGCTTAGATGCCAATCTTCGTCGAAATTCGGCAAACGTTCCTAAGTTCGGCGAGCCAGTCAAAACTGAAGCTTCCGCGTCGAAGTTTAGGTTAACCGTGATGAAGGTTAGCCATGATGAGTTAGACCCGAGTCTGTGGTATGAAAAGAAAACATCCAACGTTTGAAGAGAGAAAGAGGAAGAAATCTGGGACACTGCGAAGTCTCAATACCGTCGCATTGTCCCTTTCTTTCTTTCTATTCAACTGTTTGGTGTCTCCCTTTTCTTACCGCAGTCTCAGGTATTATTCATAATGGTTTACTTTATGAGGCATTCCTCTAGTCTGTGGTTTCATTTGGAGCACTTAGAAGGCCAGGGTTACCATTTTGGAGGATAGCGGCGTCTCTGTTGTCTTCCGACTTGAGGAAGTAGGGGTAGACGTCTTTCCAGGACCATCCCGTCGCTCCCATCTCTTCCCAGGTGTCGTAGTCGTGTCGATTTCCCCGAACGTAGATCATGTAGTTGAGCACGCTCGAACCACCGAGTACTTTGCCGCGGGGCCAAGGACTAGCCTGCGTGAACCGAAGACAGGCACAGTCAGGCAATCATAGTCTTAACCGGAACTTCCAGATTGATCAGAAGCAAGACTAAAGCGGAGAATTCAACCTAAGAGGGCACAAAACTTGCCATCTTCTAGTTCTTCAAAGAGCAGGTCGAACGGTTGGCAGTTTAGGAAGCGCGAAGTATTGCTTAATAGGGGGGGGGGGGGGGGGGGGTCGCGCTTGTAGTCACGTTTAGTTTAAAGGGGTGCAACAATATTCAGCTCGGGTGTGTTTTGTTTTGCTGCCTTTTTTTTCTTTTTTTTTTCGCTTTAAAAAAACGACGTAACTGAATAAAAGACCTCATGAGCATTGCGTGAGCGCTCGATTTGGACTCGCGACGATCAATAGCTCGACAAGTATTCTGGTAGTGGGCTAGTGGACCTTTCCAATCGTTGCAATGACGACAATAGCAGAACCCTAACAACCTCTGGAGCTGAGCCCGTGTCCCGTGTTTATGATCAACATTGGCGGCATGTAATCGGCTCCAGATTACGTGGCCGCTTGTTTGGCTGGGAGTGGAGTGGCTGCTCGTTTTAAGGCATGAAATGCTTTTCAGCTCTACTTCCAATCCCAAAATTCTGTCCGTCCGTCCGTCCGTCCATTGGTCCGTCCGCGCGTTTTCCTCTCAATGTAAAGGGAAAAGTGACGCCACGGGACATCACCTTACCTATACACCTTGGGGAAACGAACGGCACGTGACCTGTGCTTCAACTTAGTTTTCCCGCGAAATTTAAAGGGAAACTTAACGTGGCAAAGAAAAAACAGCATCAAATCAGTTTCCTTACTGCATTTAGCGAGAAATCGACGTCACGTGTCTAGACACCAATTCAGTCACCCGCTAAATTTAGCGGGAAAGCCCACGTCTCGTGACCCAGACATCAATCAAGTTTCCCCGCCAAATTTAGCAGGTAAATATACGTCACGTGATACACTAAATTCCTCACCAGTTCCTTATGAAGCATTTCATGCATTATAGTACTTTAAAGCTAGAGATCGCTGCTCTTTTTTAAAATTTTTTGGGCGACTATTATTGCACGAGGACAAAAACTAGCGCGCGTTTTATGGATTCTGAACGTGAGGGATTCATTCTAAGTGGCATCTGCGCAAAGTACACACAAAGCGCTCTGTAGTAAATGGCATCCGGCACTACCTGATAAGGACGCCAAATTCACGAAGCAAAAAAGCGAGAGCACAGTAAGCCACGCCCCGTATTTGTTAAACTCTCAGGGATCGGAGCGAGTCGTTCTTAGACGCTTTTATCGACTCGAGCCAAAGTCGTATTGGTTTCGGAACAATTCATAAGATGCTCGGAACCTGCTCAGGCTCTACGTTTCTCAATTAATCGGTGACCATAGCTCTATATTCACCAGCGTGGTAAAAGGCGACCTCTGAAGAATGCGAAGGTATATATATATATGTATATATACCCTCGGAAGAAACGAGGGGCATGTAAAACTGTTCCAAGAGTAAAAACGCTAAAAAAAAAATGGACAAGTGAGTGTGACGGACAACACAGAGCTTTGTGTTGTTCACTTCTTTCACGTGTCCCTTGTATTTTGGCACTTTCACCCGGGAAACTATGACTCACCAACGAGCCAAAATGATTTCCCTCTCTATACCCTCATCGAATCAAAGCAAATGCGATACTTCACTGCGATATAGGGATTATGCCGTTGCTACGCAAGACGCTTTTTTTTTTTTCTTTACACGGCAAAACGCTTTTTTTTTTTTTTTTTTTTTTTACACACTAGCGTTAAGGAATTTGTTTCTCAGATAATCCGGCGTCGGGAGATCCTGATTGGTCGATAGAGTCATGACGTCTTAGCGACATGAACTTGCGCGGGAATTTCAAACAACCCACAACGCTCACGCAAAACCTGACGTCGCGCGTGGAATGAGAGTCGTTCAAACATGACGTGTAATGCGAATCAAAGGTCACCGCGTGTTTCAAATGAGTTTACTTTATAAAGTGATTCATTTTCCTTAAAGAAACGTTTTAAGAATTTTAGGTGGGATTCGATCCACGAGCCTTCCTTCGGTTGAGACTTGACAGCCAGACACGCCACTGATTATAGGCCAGGCAAGGCCCGCTTGCAAGGCGAATGAGAAGGCGATGCGAACGGGGCCCGATAACGCTATCGCATTCCACTCTTAAAGGCAAAGCTTAAGCGTCCTCCAAAGTTTTTTTTTTTTTTTTTTTATGTATAATTGCCGACATTTTAAGGAACAGAATGTTTATTATGGTCACGTTTTTCGCTTCGTAATTAGATCTTCGGCGTTCTTAAAAGCGAACATTACAGTATCATTGACAGCTGCGAAGCAATATTAAGAGGCTCGGTATCCTCCACGACTTCAGACCAGACGTTGCCGTCGCAAATATTTCAGAAACACTCGATTCTCGGCCAAACTTCTGCCGCGCGTAGTGTGAAATATAGGTATCTATTATTTCGGACGTTTGAATTCCACGTCCGATTTTAGACCAATCTTTCCTTCCAAGTGAAAAACAGTCCCACGTATTTGTCGATTGTAACGCCCCTAGCAACTGTTTCTTTGGAGTGGTTCACGTCACACTTTCGTGGTACACCCCAACAATTCTACATCACTCCTTAATCTCTCATGGAGTTAAAAAAAAATGAAAGCTAAGTTTTGCGTTTTATGAAACAGTTTAGACCAGCACTTTCTTAAGAACAGCCAGGTACGCTGAAAAATTATGAAGGACTGTTGCAGCCGTTGAAGCTCATGTAGTCCTCGAGAGAATGGATGGATGGATGGATGCTAATGGCCGTATCCTTTATAACTGGCGGTAGCTTGCGCCACTTAACCTGGAACCGTAATCAGAATTCATCTCCTCGGAGTTCCGTTGAAGACTCCAGGCTAATAGCCGTATACTAAACTGATCAAAGTGTTCAATACAGTGGCGACACCGACCCCATAAAAGACACCATGTTGTCAAATCCTCTAGGAAACAACTTTGATAAGTTTGACTATACTCCACAAACCGCTCATATGTAGTGTTAATAAAAGTGCCCTTATAGTCCCCGCATGGCAGAAATTGCTAAATTTCTGCGAGAAAACGAAAGTCATTCGCTTCCCAGGGGGTTTAAATTCTGGACTCTCAGGCAAAACTATTTTGAGCTTGATTGCACTAATGTATGGTACTCTTAAGGCCTTTTAATATCATGAGACAATGTGTTGAGGCAAGTGAACTTGCAGGCCATGGCCTACAAGCAGGTTGCGTGCACCGTTCACTGTCTTTTAGGGCTGTGTATACACCGTTTCAGCGCTTATCACCCAGGCGCAAAATGGCGGGCCACTGGGCCGTCGGCGCATGCGCGGTGTTTACTATCCCGAAGGAGAGAGCTGCAGCGCATGCTTAGAACGCGTTCCGCAGACCAGCAGACAAAGACTACAGCGCGCAGAAGGCGATTGTTCGAATGGTTTATAACAGGCCGCAGCTTACCCGACCCTCCAGACCAAAGCACGACGTTTCCTGTGGTTCCGTGCGATACTTCCAGTCTAGTGGCGACATCTGCATAGTTGCCGCGATGAGGGGTATGTCGGACACTTCGTTCTCGATGCCTCCTGCTTCTATGAGTAGAATGCTGACTCGGAAGTCTTCGCTGAGCCTGTTCGCCAGGACTGCCCCGGCGGAGCCTCCTCCAACTACAAGAAAAAAAGTGCAGAGAAAACAAGATGAGCTTCACTGAAGCTTCTATAATAGAAGCCACTTAGGACATCGGTACTTTTTGTCAGAAATATCAATAAGCATGAGCTACTGTGACGTACACGTCAGGCTTAAGATTTTACTACAAAAGGGTTTGCTCCTGGTAATCCATACACCTCAAACCTTACCAGCTAGCTTGATGCTCTTTGTAGGTTGAAATATTGCACCTCGACGTTATTTGCCCTCTTCGTATTTCAATAAAGACACTCCACTGCTGCCTCCCACTTTCTAAACCGCTCGTTACCAGATATCCACAAACTCCGTAAGAGTAGGAGTGGAAATTAAAACCGACATGTCCTATTTTCGACGAAAGAAGGGAAAGATAAAAGAGCCTTGAGAAACACCGAAGAACATAAACGTAGTTCAGATTGGTCATTAAAAAAATTAAAATGATAGCACTATGATAATTACTTTCAATAGTAATATTATTAAAATATCACATTTCAATTCACTTAGAAAAAACTGCATTTGGAGCCTCATCGTACCTGCCAAAGTTACCTCAGTCTTTGATGTGTTGAACAAAATAAATATATAGTGCTTAACCTAATTATGCAATTATTGGTAATGCAAAATCTATAGACAAGTGCTCTAATTTCTACACGCGTGACCACCCTTCCAAGTAAAATAATATCGTATTTGAGAACAAGGAGAATTGCGGATATTAGTCCGCAGAATGCGTATACGAGCCAGTTGTGCTGTTTATGGTACCGATGAGATACAAACAAAAGAACATCAATGCCTTACAAGAATACTTCGACCTCTCGTCTACATTTCTGATCCACAGAATCCGAGGCTATACATGAGCAATAATTTGAATCATATGTTATACGGAAAAGAAAATGTACTAATGCTTACTGTTGTAAAAAAAAAAAAAAAAAAAAAAAAAGCCGCATTTAGTTGTAGTTTTTGGGGATCCCTAGTTTCAAGCACAAGCCCCATTCCTCTACACTGCATATACGGTCAAGGAAGCGAGCACAGGAATAAAAAAGGTGTGATTATACCAAGGTGCAAGTAGTAAAGAATGCCACCTTTCACACGTGAAATTCAAACTTCGTCGACACAATCTTCAGCCTTTCCCGGCCGATGAATACTTACGTTCACCATCAATGAGGCAAAAAGAAAAGAGTACCTTTCTTATTGAGCCTCACAGGGCTTTCTAAAGCAGGCGAAGTGAATTCCGATGTCAGAGGATCACGCTCGATTGTACTCAACTGCGTGTCTGAGCGGAAGGGTTAACGGCGGTGACCTGAATCGCGACGTTGGCCCGCCATGCAGCACTGCGGGCAGATCAACAAAACACTGATTTCGTTGACATGTTGGCCGTCCCCACTGTCTTCTGGAGTTGAAATTAAACTCTCTTCCTGGGTCAAATATAGCTCCGGCAGTTTATTTATTGTTTGTGTTTGTATGAACATAAGTAGAGCAGAGCTACTGCTTCTGCAAAAGGAAAAAAGAACGAAAAATAAACGATGTAAAATAATATTACAAAAATTAGATGACATAAATCAATTTAGAATGTCATATGTTGTACCACTATCATTTTCAAAATGAAACAGTTTGAATTTTTGTTTTTATTTTCGATTTGGCTAATTTTCGTATCTAAGATAAAGTCAGCGTGAAACGATTTTAACACTCGTCAAAAACCGATTATGCAGCGGCAGTCACAAAAAAAAAATTGTTTGGCCTTTTGACTCTGGTGAAGAAGAAAGACCAGCCAAGCTGTACTATGGTGGGCATGAGGTAATGGCCGGCTTCAAGTCGGCAAGCTAGAGTGGAAAGGCACAAAAAGTTGCCTCCATCTATGAGCGACGGCGGCAACCAGCAACCAGCAAGCCGGTTGTCTGGTTGCCGCCGTTGCTCATAGATGGCGGTAGCTGTCCAGAGATTTGAGTCATCATTTCTTTCCTGGCGGACACGATACGGGGAAAACAGGCACTTAATAGCTCCGCTGTAAAATAAATCGAGCATTGCAGAAAGCTTAAGCTCTGATGAAATCTAATCCAGTGTGTTGGAATAAGTTCAGGCACGTAGCCAGAATTTTGTTTCGGGGGGGGGGGGGGGGGGGGCGCTAATGACAAAATGCTGTATGAGGGGGAGGAGAAAGAGGAGGTCCCAGCAAAATAGAAAATTTTAGGAAGGGGGGGGGGGGGGGGAGGGCCCGGGCCCCATGCCCCCCCCGTCTACGTGCCTGGATAAGTTGCAAAGGTTTTAGTACTCAGCGTTTTCTAATTCATGAGTGTATGTGAAAAAGAAGAATTTCAGTAAATGGTTGATAGTGCGGCAGTGCGTGTCTCCTTTTCTTCGCTCCTTAGTTTTTTCCCTCTACGTTCAGCTGGAAACCTTCAGAAGTTTTCTAACTGATAGTTACGTGGGATATTCTTATATTTAGAGTTAAAAAATATAGGCCAGTGGTGCCCGCGATTGACTAGAGATCTCTATAGCTATTGCTGAACGCCTATCCATTCTCATTGAGAATTTAGGCAAACCGCTCCTACCTTTTGAGTTCGATAACTTTAGCACAAGCAAGAGGGGACCGGGCTTTCAGCTATGGGGAACACACTTTTTTTCTTTTTTTGCGGAGAAGGTGCGAAAAGGGAAGGGGGGGGGGGGGGGGGTGTTGATTTTTGTAACGATAGTGGATACTCGCTTATCATAGACGAAATCGACTAATTCGCCAATATTACCTCAATAGTAGGTATGCACGGTATTCATCTGAAACTATTTCACTTAGTACAAACTTTTATATTGTGTTTTAGATGAAATTTACCTTCAATACTGTTTAAATTTGTTGGTATTTGGGGACACATAAGAAATATCCTCAAACGTGTCCCCCCATGATACGCTGCTATTAAAAAGGTTTTATCTAGATTTTACTAGGTGCTTGCATGTGGCAAAATATATAAAGCTGAGAGACGAATAAAAATGCAAAAAGCTCCAGCCCCGGCCATAAAAACAGTGCTTATGAAATACACAATTAATGATAATGTTCAAAGGTGATGTCTTAGCTCTGATTTTTAATAATATATTCGTTAAAGAGACACTCAAGAGTGTTCTTCGTTCATAACAAACGTTTAGTACGCTTAGACGTTCCACACTATTCTAAGCAAGTAAAGAAGCGTTTTTCGTCTGTGCGTTTATTCTCGTTTCCCATAATAATACTCACCGTTGATTAAGAAAGCGTCTGTGTTATTCTGTTGCCCTTATATAAAGTATATATAAAGTAAGAATAAATCCGTCATATAGTCACTGTATTAGAAAATGTGCTCAATGTGAATGTCATAGAGATTTAAGAATTCAAAACAAATTGCAGAACATTTGTAAACAGTGACTACAATTATTTTATATGAACTGGTATATTTTGTTTTGTGTTTTATTGACGCCCCTTCTGTGTTGAGTTGTTTTATTTTTTATGTGTCCACTAGATTAATATTGTTATGTGGTGATTTCACTCTTTTTGTTATGTGATATCATTTTTAAAGCGTAAAAAGAGCAGTTTTATTTTCACTGGCACCTTTTCGGACGCCGTTATAAAATAAATTGTGAAGTTATACAATCTTCAACGGAGAGTTGCCCCGTTCATATGTCCTTGTGAATTTTAAGGTGCTACTTATTGTTATGATTGACTCTTAAATATGTCTTCTTCGTTTCTATGTTTGGTTACTCCCAGTGAGACAGACTGACGATTTTTTGTATTTTTATGTTGCTATAATGAGCATATGTGTAACTAGTTTTTCTTTTAATTTTGAATTATTTTAACCCCTTCGGTTACTTGAAAATATATCGTAGGCCCGCTGAGCTGTTATGTCTGATATGCTAGTTTGAGTAATATTGCGACCAGTATTTGTTAAATAAATGCAAACAGAGCAGTAAACAAGTAATGTAACGCGGAATTTTCTGAGACTTTTTTAATTGGGTTCAGAGCTTGTCCTTTTCTTTTTTGTTAAATGTCTATACTCCTAACTTCAGGCGACGGCAAGCACGCCTCCTCCTCCCATTAAAGGACCAGGCACGTAGGGGGGGGGGGGGGGGGGGGGGGGGGGGAGGCGGAGGCATGGGGCTCGGGCGTTTCTCGAAATCTTCTATTTTGCTGGGACCCCCTTTCTCGTTTCCCCCTCATACAGTATTTTGTCATGAGCGCCCCCCCCCCCCCCCCCAAAAAAAAAAAAAGAAAAAAAAAATCCTGGCTACGTGCCTGTAAAGACCACATATGAAATGAAAGCGCAACACGATTTTATACATACAGGGGGAGGGGGGGGGGTTCATAAAGGTAATATTATCGGCACCGAAAATCGAAAAAAAGGTGTACAAAACAGGAATCCACGCGAGCTTGCGCGTCCCTGTTTCGTCGTAGTATAAACATCGCGCACTATATATCCGCTCTAAAGAGTCGAAGCAGGAATGCCACCGCCAGTCGGGAAGGTCGAAGCACGTGCAGTGATCCGTTTTCACCATTTGAAGGGAAGCAATTCCAAGGAGATTCATTCCGAGCTGATGGTGGCGTTCGGGCACTACTCCCCAGTCTAAAAAGTTGTGGTTAAATGGCGCATACGCTTCTAGCGTGGATAAACAAGCCTGAGAGCATTTCAATGATGACGACCGATAGTGATTGCTGAAGTGGAGCAAAACCTTAACACTTAAAACGTGGAGTTCTATAACAGAGCCCCCACAGAAACTCTGTAATAGGGTATCTCCGACAAGTTGCCCATCGATTGAAAAATGTGAGTGTCTTTTGGGTGGCGAATATATAGAGAGGGATTGAACTTTCACGTGGGCGTCTTTGCTGAATAATTTCTATTTATTCACGTCAATATTACGAACTTTTTGAACGCCCCTCGTAGAGGCGCGCAAAGCGAGAAAAAAAAAAACATTTGGAATCAGTGAAATCGTCTACGAGGAACTTCCTGAGACGCAGAAACGCCCCTTTTTATGGTTTCGTCTC